CCTCCAGAGGCTCCTCTCGAGGGACAGGCAGAACTCGTGGACGAACTCCGCAGGGTCCACGTCATTGCGCTTGTCTTCCCAGTCGGCTTGTCCACTGTGGGGTAGCTGCTACTCCTGGGTGTAGGTCTCGCCTGCCCACGGAGGTCGCGACCACTCCGTTGGCGTCGGGCAGGTCCAGCCTGCGTCCAGGAGGATGGCCTGGATGGCGGAGATGGGCCCTTTGACCTTCCTCCACTTCTTGCTGCCGTACTTGATCGACTTGTCGTAAATCCGCTTCCACGCCTGCGTGACCCGACTGTGGTGTTCTGGGTGCTGCATCCAGAAGTTGAGCCACTCGGCGATCGACTGGCGCCTGAGCTCGATCGCGGGGCCCTTCTTCCCCATGACGACGGCGAGGGCTGTAGAGAGACAGCGGCCAGGGACCTTCCCCGCCGTAGCCTGGACGGCCTGGCGCCTCTGGTCGAGGATGGCCGCTGGGGCGAGGCCCATGATCTGGTGACCGTAGGTCCCCTGTGGCCTGGATCCCGTGCTCCACAAGCCCTTCGCGATCTTGGCGAGGGAGGCGTGCTTCCTGACCTTGGCGACGATGCGGTGAGTGCGCCTCCTCGCGGTCCTGGCCCTCTTGATTGCCTTGGCGACAACCCGTCTCTTGGCGCCTCCCACGTCGATGCCAAGGTCGACCGCGCTGTTGGCCACCTTGACGTGGTGGCCCTTCTTCTTGAGATCGTCGTGCACTGCGTAGGCGATCGTCTGGCTGGAGGCGACGACGGTGGTCTTGGGGGAGACTCGGAGCCCCGCGCCCGTCATACCTTCGAATAGGTCGGCGCCAACCCCGATGAGATCCCCGATGACCTGCTTGGTTTGGCCCTCTGCCCTCGCGGCCGTGTCGTCCACGAACGTCCACAGGCCAGCGTGCGTGTGGTTGATGTGGGCCCTCTGCAGGATCGGCCCCAGGTAGACCTTGGCGAGCTTGCCGCCATTGCAGCTGCCCGCGACTATGGACCTCTCGGCGTCTATGATGTCGCTGACCCAGCCGTGCATCCGCAAGTGCCTGGGCGCGAGGTAGAGCTGCACCTCCATCGCCACGACAATCGGGGGGAAGTTGACCCCGATCGCGGCGTCGAAGAGGGCCGCGTAGCAGACCGAGTCGCAGAACTTCTCTACGCCCATCAGCAAGGTCGCGAAAGCAATACCAAAGGTCGCCGCCGTCTCGTCAAGGAGCGCCCTGACTAGCGCTGCCCTTGAGGCGCTGGAGCCTTTGATGGCGGTGTCCCAGAACTCCACGAGCACCTTGGACCACTCGTCGGTGACACTGGAGCGGACCTTGGCCCAGGTCTTGGGGATTGTGGGGAGCATGCCCAAGATTCTCTCTTCACCTGCGGGCTTGGGGGCCATGGCCCCAATGGTGGCGCAGAGCTGCTGAGGCCACAGTCCGTTGGCCTCCACCTGGTTGTAGATCTCGGCGAGCTCCTTGATCCCTTTCTCGGGGAGCCTCTGGATGTCGATGGGGCCGATGTTGTCGACTCCTCTCGCCTTCTTCGGGTTGGCGGTGCCCACGATGGCCTGTATGTGCTGCGGCTCGATTAACGGGGGGGGGTCCTCCTTCGCGAGTCGCATGGCCTTCTCGTATGCGCTGATGATCTGCTTGGCGTTGTAGCTGTCGGACGCCCAGATGGAGCGCCAGGTGCCGGCGGAGTGGTTCATGAGCGTGGACGGGTCGCCCACCGTTCTCTGGGGCTGCTTGTCCTCCAGGCGCGGCGCTTTGGGGTCAGTGACCATGCGGTGCAGGTTGCCTGGTGAGTCCTTCCACGCCTGTTTCGCCCAGTCGAGATACAGTTTTCGCGCTCTGTCTGCAGTTTTCGCCATGGCTTTATGGGTCCACTCCATGGTGGTGGCGCTGATGCGGTGCAAGTCAGCCACGTCGCAGTACTCGAGGGTAACGAGCTGGGTCTTCCACTCTTCGATCTCCTGCGGGTCGGTTTTCCTGCCGAAGAGCTCCTTGGAGAACTCAGGGTTCTCTAGGTCGTCCAGCTTCTTCATGACTGTCTTGTGGATGTGCTGGCGGGCTTTGGGGTCCTTGCCGTTGGTGGCCAGCGCGGTGCACCTCGCCGCGAGGGTGCTGAGGTGCTGCCACCATGTAGCCTCGGGGTCCTTGAGGTACGCTCTGCCAGGCGGCGCCTTCATCGTCTGCTTGGTGGTCCTGTGCGCCTCTGCCCTGCCCTGGTACTTGGCCCTGTCCTCGACGGGGACCGCGTGCGTCTCCAGGAAGGCGAGCTCCAGGGTCGCGACCCACTGCGCGTACTTCGAGTTGATGTTCTCCGCGAGGTTCGGCGCATGGTTGTGGAAGATGTGTCCTCTGCCTTGGTGTCGACCTTTGCGCCATCGAACTTCGGGAAGTTGCTGACCTCGTCGGCGGCTGCGTCCCAGTTCTGCTGGGGGGTGGCGAAGGGGGTGGGGTCCTCCTTGGCCGTCTCGCGGTTGCTGTAGAGGGCGTCGAACTCGTCGCGCAAGTGCTCTGGTAGCCTTTCCCTCCTGGTTCGCAACGCCTCCGCACGAGCCTTGGACCTTTTGCTGCTCGGGTCCGCGACCTTCTTGGGTCTGGCTCGTGCGGGGAGGGCTTTGGGAACCTTGGTAGCTTTGTGCTGCCGCGGCTCGGCGGTGCCCGCCGTAATATGGATGCCGCAGTGGGTCTTCCAGGGGACGTCGTAGATGGCCTCGATCCCGACGTGCGTGGCGATGTCCGCCCGTACGATCGCGTAATCGTACACGGAGCCCGAGCCCTTGTCGCACGTCGCCTCGCAGCTCGGGTCGGTGAGGATGGCGCCGTTCCATTGCGTGAGCCACGGCTTGTTGTCCCACCAGTGCGGCTCGTAGTTCCAGTCGGCCAGGATGATCCACGGGTCCATGAGCATGGCCACGAAGGTGGAGATGGAGACCAGGATGTCCCTGTTCGCGCCTTGGTCCCGTAGGCCAGGGCGCAGGTACGCCGCTAGGGCGACTATGTTGCCGCTCTTGGAGTGGAGGACTGTCGGCGTGAAGCCCACGAACGGCTGCCTCTTGTGGCGCTTGACGTAGTAGCCCCTGTAGCCCTCGAACGTGGTCGCCGCCGCGTCCCTGCGCGTGAGGATCCACTCGCCGCCATGGGTCCCCTTGTCCGATTTGTTGGTGGCCACCGCGGGTGTGGCCGACAGCTTCCAGCCGTCCATGGCGAACTTGCCTATCTGCTCCGTGATGCCGTTCGTGTCGACGTGCGTCTCCGCCAGCGCTATGAGGTGGCGCTTGAAGCCTGCGTTGCGACAAAAGTTGGCGGCCTGCGGGCCCCACGCCGTTATGTTGTCGAACAGGATCTGGGCCGCCTGCTCGGGCTCCGTGGGTGCACCTGCCGTGGGGAGCCCCCTGGCGCGGTTCCCATGCCCCCTCGGCCGCTGCGGCCGCTTGCGGCTACCCCAGCGACGGTGGGGCTCCTGCTGCTGCCGCTGGCGCCATGGTGGCGCCCTTGCCCAAGCCCTTAGCTGCGTGGGCCAGCTCCCTGGCCCTGGTGGTGGCGGCGATGAGCTCGGCGGCGGCCTTGCGGTCCTCCGCGGAGGGCTCGTCGGCGGCAGGGGCGGCCCCTCCAGGCTGGCGTGGCTCAGCAGGTGGGGCGGCAGAGCCCCCTGGCGTGCCAGGTTGTTCCTGTCCTCCAGGCGCGGCCGCTGGCTGCTGTTCCTCTGGTGAAGCGGGAGCAGGTTCAGGATGAGGTTGCTGAGCAGCTGGTTCCTCCCCACACGGCTTCTTCCGCTTCGCTGGGTTGGTGGTGGACTCCTTGGCTTGGCGTAGGAGTTCACGTACTTTCTCTTGGCCATTGCTGAGCTCGGCCAGGCGCTGGTCGAGCTCTTGCTTCCACTGTTCCATCTGGGCGCGGATGCCCTCGTCGTAGATGGAGAGGTCGTCCCACATGGAGCTGTCGACCTTGAAGGCTTCCTGAGGTCCCACTGGTGGTGCTCCGCGTGCAGCTCCAGCAAGCTTGGCGCTGTGGTCCGCTTGCGCCTTGGCGCATGCGTTCTGTGCCTGGACGAGGTCCAGGGCGGCTTGCTCTTGTTTGGCCACGGCGTCGTCGTACCACTGCTTGGCGGCCTCGACGTCGTCGACCGACTGCTTGAACTTCTTCTCCCTGTCTGCGAGGACTGACAGCGCCGACTGGAGCACCTGCTCTGCAGTGCGGGCAGGCTGCGGCTTGTCGGGCTGCTGGAGGGCGTCCTTGAGGTTGCCGACGAGTTCGGCGTGCTTGGTGTCGCTGGGGAGCGTGCTGAGCGTGGCGATGATGGCGTCCCTGGTCGGGGCGACGGCCACTGGCTGCTCCTTCCACGGCGGTGGCTTGCTGACTCCTGCCCACGCCCCTGTGGGCTGGCGGTGTTCGGCTGGTGATGGGGCCAGCTGCTTGCCACAGTAGAAGCACTCGGACTTCCCCTTCCACGTCCATCGGTATCGACACTGCTTGCAGACCGTGAACTGGCCAGCGAACCTTGCTGGCGAGCCTCGTCCACCTTCAGGGCGTGCACGTCGCGGCCTGGTGCCGCCATTGGCGGCAGCTCCTCCGTCAGCAGGGGCGGTCCCTCCACCGCGGTCTGCGGCGGCCATCGTCCCACTGCTTCCCAGGGAGCTCTGGCGAGCCACGCAAGGGAGGGATATGGACTGGGCGGCAGCTCGCCCCTGAGTGTAGCTGCGGTGGGCGGCAGCTCGCCCGTGGGTGTGGCTGCAAATACGAAGAGCACTGAAAGCTGTGGGAGCCTACCCCAGATCGGCAGTGAAATGGTCACCATTTTGGCCTTGAGCCAAAATGGCTACGGACGGAGGAGGAGGGGGAGGCGGAGGAGGAGAAGGAAGAGGAGGGGCAAGAGGAGGAGGAGGAGGAGGAGGAGGAATGGGAGGCGGAAGAATGGGAGAAGGAGGAGGAGGAGGAGGAGGAGGAGGAGGAGGAGGAGGAGGAGGAGGAGGAGGAGGCGGAGGAGCAAGCCCACGAGGTGTTGCAGCCCCTTCGTTGTCCAGCTGGTGGCGACCTTCAGCAGGCGGGTCGCCGTACTTTTCGGCGGCAGCACCGCCCCTTGCCACGAGATGGAGGGAGGGGGGAGGTAGGAGGGAGGGAGGGAGGAGGAAGAGATGGAGAGGAGCAGGAGGATGATGCAAGTTAAGTGCGCTCGCGCCTCATCTAACATCCCATCTCTCCATCCCATCCCTTCCCATTGCGCTGCTGTTCCCCCATCCGCGGACGCGTGTCACAGCCGTTTCTGCGACTCCCACAGAACGACCACTTCGGTGTACACGCAATCGAAAGGAAAGGTGAGCTGCGTGCACTGGAGGAGGAGGTGGCGGGTTAGCAGGTTGATGAGCGGGACGAAAAGGACGAGGACGAACAGCAGCAGCAGGAACTAAAGCGGAATTATCGGGAGGAGCAGCAGGACCAGGGGAAGGCGGAGGAGGGAGAATGAGGGGGGGGGGACACAGATGAAGGACGATTCGGATTCAGCAAAGCAGCAGGAACTGGAGTTTAAGGAGCGGGAGGAACAGGAGGACCACGGGCAGGCAATGAAACAAGACAATGAAGCAAGACTCGGATCGAGAAAAGTGGCCCGCGTTGCGGCGAGAGCGCCAGTCTGAACATGGGGGCAGAGCGCCGGTCCGCAAAGGAGGCCCGCGCTGCAGAAGTACCACCGTTCTGAAACACTGAAAACATTCGGACAGTAAGTACACGCCATCAGACAAGCAACTTGTGAAATCCTGTGTATAATAGCAATACGCCGAGGGGGCGGGAGACCTTCTGGATGACTTCAGGGGAGGATGAAGCGTAGTATTCATATTGTTTTCTCGTGGAGAGGAGGAGGAGGAGGAGGAGGAGGAGGAGGAGGAGGAGGAGGAGGAGGAGGAGGAGGGAGGAGGAGGAGGAGGGAGGAGGAGGAGGAGGGAGGGGAGCATGACGAGGGAGGAGGAGGAGGAGGAGGAGGAGGAGGGAGGAGGAGGGAGGAGGAGGAGGAGGAGGAGGAGGAGGAGGAGGATGAGGAGGAGAGAGGAGGAGGGAGGAGGAGGAGGAGGAGGAGGAGGAGGAGTAGGAGGAGGAGGAGGAGGAGGAGGAGGAGGAGGAGGAGGAAGGAGGAGGAGGAGAGGAGGAGGAGGACGAGGAGGAGGAGGAGGAGGAGGAGGAGGAGGAGGAGGAGGAGGAGAGGGAGGAGAGGGAGGAGAGGGAGGAGGGGGGGGGAGGAGGACCCCCTCGCGCCGTGAAGTATCTCACGATGGATGCTTGTCGGCAATGTTCGCCCTCTGGGGGGCCCTCGCTGGAATTCCAGGACCTTCGACAAGACTGACTACTCAGGATGAAAAGCTGGACCAGAGCGTAAGGTCATGGATATGATCACGATGCCACCAACTTTTTCGGCCACTGCTCTCAGCACCTGGCGTCCAGGTGCTTGCAACAAGGCGTGAAGCGACCCCGTCCAGGTGCAATCGGCGAGCTGCTCTCGAGTGCAGGGGCGCGCGCGGGTCACTCGAAGAACTTCTCGCGCCACCGCGCGCGCACGAGGAGGCCAAACGCGATCTCAGTCCGAATCTGGGCCCGCGTCCTCGTCGGGCCCGCCATCCTGGAGAGGTCGCCCGCCAAGCGCCCGCACGCGGGGGCGAGCGCGTGGAGTGCCGCCTCCCGCGTCGCGGCAGCGGGAGGGCGCCCCCCCCCCCCTTCCGCGCCCTCGGGAAGACGCTCGCCGAGCTCCTGGGCGGCCTGGCCGCGCACTGCCGCCCCGCCGCGGACTCTGCGGGGGACCTGCTCGGTGTCCTCCTCCGCCGCGGCCTCCTCCTCCTCCTCCTCCTCCTCCTCCTCCTCCTCCTCTTCCTCCTCCTCCTCCTCCTCTTTCTCCTCCTCCTCCTCCTCCTCCTCCTTTCTTCCTTCCAACAGCCCTGAAGACAAACGTCTGAGGTGTCCACTCATGCATACGTCAGCGGTGAGAAGGGCGGCAAGTATAGCGGGGGACAAGGAGAGCAGCAATGGCCAACATCAACCCGACTCGCAAAATGGATCGAGCGGGGCATACAGATGGGCAGCTGACGCCTCTAACCATGCATCCCCAGGAGGCGTGGGGGCACAGCGTTGCGAGGCGGCCTGAGTGATAACAGCAGCGAGGTAGAACTCAACCTGGCTGCTGTCAGGAGGGGCCAAAGTCGGCACGGCATTCAAGAACAGGCACTGACGGTCCCCGATGGGCAGACAGCTCGACGTGAGTGTCGGAGACAGTGCCGACAGGGAGCGCAGGAACCTGACCTCGGGGACTTTCCAAATACAGGGCATATGGGCTTGCGGAGCAGGTGGGTTTAAAGTGAGCAAGGTCGCCAGGCCCGAGGACGCCGCACACAGCGACAGCGTCAGTGCCGCCCGAAGGCACGCACTGTCGAGCTCAAGCTCCCTCCACTCCGAAGGCGACCTAGCTGAAATCCCCCACGGCTCATCGCAGCTCCTTAAAGGCCTGCTTTCTCCACCCTTGGCTTTGCAGCGGGGGGCAGGGTCCCACGAGGTAAGAGGAAGGTCTGCCAAGAGACCAACAACACGCCCAGACATTATTAAATCGGTAATGAACAACAGCTCCCTATGAAATCCCTCGATGCAATTCTGGAACAGTTCGAGGATATTTCATGACAGAACAAAAACATTCATCCCCGCCGTGGCACTGGAACTCTTCGCTCTATCCTGGATGTCGCCTTGACTCCTGGGAGCTGTACGGAGGATCATAATGTACTTAGTGCCAGGGGTCCTCCTGCAGAGGGCTCTCCGAAGAAGCCGGGGCAACCTCGCGCGGGACTGCCTGGCCCAGCAAGGCTCCCTTGCCCCCTGAGTGAGCGGGCTTGGGAGACGCAAGGACAGCTCGCGAGTGGACGCAGGTAGATGGAGATGCTTCCCGTTCTCGGCGCGACCCAGCTGGGACATGACACGACTCCTGGCTGGCCAGCACTGCCAGCCAGGAATCGTGCTGGGAATCTCTCTGGCCGGCTTCGGGTAGCGCCCGCCACGAGAGCGGCCAGCATGCAGCGCCCATGAGTGCGCGGGCCGAGCCTGCGCTGAGCCTGGGCCAGCAGCCCAGTCGAATGCGAGCGCGCTCGCGCACCAGCACTGGGCCACGCCGGAGGCCAGGCGACATCGCAGCACCGCCGCACGGCGCTGATGGAGCGGGCGCGAGGCTCCAGGTCGATGTCGTGGATCAATACATGTTTTAGTTTGCTTTCCGGAGCTGTGATGTGGCACCTGCTCTGGGGACCTCGAGGGCGGATCGCACCCAAGCTAGCAGGCACCCCTCTACACTTACGTCCGAGCGCGGGGCTTGGAGAAAAGTATTCCGTGGCACGGTCCACGACTGCAGCATGACGTCCAAGGCCGCCCCCGAGTACGAGGGGAACCACGCCTGCGCTTGGCCCCAGCACGTGCCCCCCCCCACACGCATAACGGCAGTGGGAGCCTCACCTGGCCGAAAGATCTCGTTGCCCCCCGCCCCCGCCCCATCTTTCCCCCTCCGCAGAGCCGTCAGTCCCGCGCCGAGCTGCTCACAACACGTTTCTTGAGGGCCACCCCCCGCCCCCCGCGCTGCCCTCGCAGGGCCGGTCCCGCCAGACCGATATCGCGCGCTCGCCTCGCCTCGCCTCGCCCGACGAGGAGGCATGGGAGGAGAAGGAGGAGGAGGAGGAGGAGGAGGAGGAGGAGGAGGAGGAGGAGGAAGACCTAGGAAAAGTAAGAGGAGGACGACAATAACGACGGGTGCGTGGAGGAGAAGAGGGATGAGGAGGACAAGGAGGAGGAGGAGGAGGAGAAGGAGGAGGAGGAGGAGGAGGAAGAGAGCAACGAAGACGAGGAGGAATAGACGGTGACGAGAAGGAGCGCGTGGGGGAGCATGAGAAGGACGGGGAGCGTGTGGGAGCAGAACGAGGACGGGGAGGCCCTGAGATCCGACGTCGTGAGATATCAGGACTGCAGCAGTTTTTCGAGCGGGACCGGTCTGTGAGTTTCCCGCGGGGCCCGAAGCTGGGCGAAAACGCCGGGCTCGAAAGGATTGAGACGCCAGGACCTCTCTGGGCCTTCCCGGATGGGGTCCGAGCAGATGGGGTCGGAGGATCGCGCCGCCTCGCCGATGCATCGGCGATGCGGCTCCATGTGAAGCCCAAATCTATTATTCCATGCCTGCGTCGCCGACACGCCGCGGACGACGCCGACGCATCGCCGATGCATCGCCGATGCATCGGCGATGCGGCGCGGTCCTCCGACCCAAGCTGCTCGGACCCCATCCGGGGCGGCCCCTCTGACCTCACACAGTGGAGACCCATGCCAAGAAGCACCCTGCTTGCCACCGGCGTTCCCTGGGTTTCGGGGACGTCCCGATTTTTTCAGGACGACATGCCTGGAAGTCCTGGCCCTTTCCCCAGGACCGGTTTTTCGTCCAGAGTGGTTTTTTGGCCGTCCCGAGGGCCAGCGAGGGCCCCCCGGGGCCGAAGATAGGCCAAACACCTCCCGTCCTGACTTCTTGTACGACGCGACCATGTCTGGGCTGTGGTCGAGCTCCTGCTGCAGGGGAGGGCACAGAGGCCCCCCGCAGGCGGGCAGCCCGCAGTTTGGGGAAGCCTCGGGCTGCCGAGCAGCCCGCGAGAGGGGGCGGATGTGGCGGCGGCGCCGGGAGGCGCCGGCCCTGCCCAGGACCCCCCAGAGGTCCGACGCTCCAACTAAAGAGTTGGAGCAGGTCGTCGTTTTCTGATTCCTTGTTCTGCCGATCGGCCTGGCCGCGCCAGGCGCGCGGGGCGTGGCCCCTCCCCCCTGAGCGGCTCGCTCCCTCCGCCCCCTCTTCTGGCCGCGTCCTTGCCTCTCCCCCTCCTGCATGGTGGCACAATTCGTTCCAACGGCACCCCCGTCTCGGCTTTTCCGCTGGCGCAGACGACCCTTGCCTCGCCGCCGACGCAAAAATGGTTTTGCCGATCGGCGCGGGCCCTCGCACCCCCCCCCCATGGAGTGGATCTCGGCCGTTTTGTTGCGCGCGTGCTTCAGGCAGGTGGAGTCTCCCCCGCGGGACGCACTGCTGCAAACCGTCGCACAGAGCAGAGGTCCGGAGCCAGACCCATCCCCTCCCCCTCCCCCCCCACTCTTCGCCCCATGTCGAAACGTTCACCAGGCGGTCTTTGGCTGTGTGCGGCCTCTGGGGGCCCTCGCCGGGCCTCGGGAGTGTCAAAAACACGGCCTGGGACGAGCAAAGCGGAGGGGTACCGGTCAAAAACACGGCCTGGGACGAGCAAGGCGGGGGGGGCATGGGTTCCATGTGTTTTTTTTTTCACTGTTCCCCCCCCCCCCCCCCACAGGAAATGGAGGGCAAATTGGGGCCTTCGGGTTGGGTTGGGGTGCATTGGTGGGTGGTGAGTTTATGAAACAAATGAGAAAAAACGCGACCCTATAGGGAAGCGGTCTAGCCCTCCGAGGCCCATGCATCGAAAGAAGTGGGAGGCAGCTGGAGGCCTGGGCCCCTGGCGTCGTGACAAGATCACGGCGGAGAGGTTTTTGTGCCGTCTTCGGCCTCCAGGGGCCCCTGCCCGGCCCCGGGGCTGTCAACAGAACAACAAAACGGCTCGGGAGGAAGAACTGGCCCGGGGGAAGGGGTCCAGACCCCTCAGGAAGGCTAGTATCGAGTTGGGAGGATGGGGTGGGGAGAAATGGGGATACCACTGCCCGTAGTGGGTCGCAGGCATCGCGCATTGCATCTGAATGCTCTGGCTCATGCCCTTCATCCTCCCAGCCCCTTCCTCCCGACACGATAGCTGCTCTCCTCAACCTCTGGGGGTCGACGGTGTGTCCCCTCCTTGCGCGCGGGCTGGCGCCCCCCGTGTGCGAGGCGGAGACAGTCGTGCT